TAATCCCAGGCACCAGACCACGATTTCACCAGCAGATCTGCATGGAATGTGGTATCCTACTGTCAGAAGGACGCTAGTGTGTCTCTCCAAACTGTACAGATGTATAGACGTATGCAAAAATTTCTTTATCTAATATTTTTAAAGTGAAGTTAGGAAGTATGTAGCACCATGTCTAATTATTTTAATGTAAGTTAGGAGTGGGCAGTTACTGGCCTCTGTTATCTCTTTTTGCTATGTTATGTCTTTTTGCTGCTATCTTTATGTGAAATGAGAACTGACAAATTTAGGTCATCATCTCCAAGACAATTTTGTATTTGTAGAATTAGAAACAAGGCATTGATTTGTACATTTATTGCTTCTGCTATTACAGAAATACTCCAGTGTCTGAAGCTTGAGATACTTATTGCACCAAAGTTGAGGACTGAATAATAGAACAAGAAAGAATAGAAAGTTCTGGGTTGATTGTAGAGAATGATCTTATTGCTGAATTTACTGGTTGAATGCGTGTCTTGCGATGTGCTTTGCAGGACATCAGACAAGGTCATGTTTCTGGTCTTAAAAATGATGACTCTACTACTCCTACATTTTGGAAATGTTCTCAACATTTTTTTGTAGCACATCGTTTCACCTTCCAAAATGGAGGAGATGTTTCCAAAGTTTAAGGCAATAGGAATCTTCATGTCTAATGGAAACAAAAGCAATGTTAACTTCACAAGTATTTTGAGACTTGCCCTTTAGAATCTGATTTTTTTTGTGTGTCACTTAATAGCATGAAAGAATAGTAAGTCTCTGAGAAACATAATGCAAGTGGTTTTGCTTTTCTGTATGTGTTGTATCTTTATTAGATACTTTTAATGCATGTAAAAATATTTTTCATATGTTATGTGAAACTGCTACAAAGATGCTATTTGCTTAAAAAGAAGTTGGAAAATATTAGTACTTTATTGCTTAATAGGTCAGTCTCATTAAAGATAAATGAGTATTTGCCCTTGTTTTCAGCTAGGCCTTTGGAGGAGAGGTCATTTTTGTGTTGTTTGCGAGGCTCATTTATAGTGTTATCTGCACGGTGGTTTATTTATCTTTTCACCGAGATACTCTAGCAGAACTGCCGTGCCTTGCCTGCACCCTGTGGATAGAAGAAATGAATTAAGTGGTACTGGCAAGTCTTGGAGCAGGCAGGGCTGTCATGTAGGAGTGCTGGCGGAGGCGAGCAGTGTTCCTACGGGTAGCATGGCTGTATGATCTAGTTGCTGCAGCTTAATGAGTTACTTACTCTGCGTCACCTGGGCCATGGCAGCTGTCATGTTTGTTTACTAACCTGGCGCAAACACGAGGTAATTTGACTTTGCTTGAGGTTAAGCTCACACAAATGGTCTCACATCTATTGCAAGTATAAATTGCACGCACAGATAGTTACCCTGACACATGAAGTGTCCACTCAGGTTACCCAGTAAGCATTGTTTATCTCGGTAGCTGTGAATGCATTAGGTGTCACTATGTCACTACCCGGATGCAGATTCAGAGCCAGCAGGTGAACAGGGTGTACTTGAGCGTCCAGTCTAAGTGTTGTAGCAAGCTTTTATGCAGGAACACTCCATCCTGTCTTATTGCACTTAGATGCTATGTTTGTACCTAACCGATCTAGAGTTTTATGTGCTGGGAAGCACATCCTTCACAAGCCACAGCTCTTAAATCCTGCTTAAATTTTGCCTTTTTCTTTTTTTTTTGGTCTCATTTCCTCTTCCCTGCAGAGGGCAGTGTTTCAGGGATTATCGCAAGAGGCCTTATCTGCCTGCATCCACTCGCTGCTGGGAGCTGCTGATTCTATCAGCAAAAACAAGGTCAGAATCTCTGCTTTGGGT